CGCTGTTTCCTTCCGCCCCCCTCCCGCGCCGTTGATTGGCGCCGAGTCTAGAGGAGGCCAGCCTACAACACGAACATGCCGCTACAATTCTCCAAGTCACAACGAATATGTCGACGATATCGCTAGGCTTAGGCTAAAGGGCAAACAAAAAAACCTAACGCTTGCCCGTCTTCCGCTTCTTGGCGCCGCCCGTCTTACACTTGCCGGGGAGGGGGGGGGGCTTCTGGGCCTTGGGGATGGGATGCTTCAGTAGAGCGTGCTCGATCGTGGAATCCTTCGTGCACCAGGGTTTATTGTGGCAAACATTGATCGCCGAGAGGATTGTGAGCCACCTGATCAAAGCAGTTCAGTTGTTCGCGAGGGGGGGGGGAGTATTGCCAAAAGGCTTCATTCATGTTTGATGGAGAAGGGTAGTAGACTGGGGGCTCTGAAACAAAGCAGTTGTCTGTACGTTACATATGTTGGTAATTCAATGTCAGTCATTAGTATTTGTACTACTGTAAACACACCACGTAGGTATTCACCTCAGGAGAATTATCGGACCATTTGGGAGAGACCATTGTCCGTTAGGATATTCTTGCGTTGTTCCTAGAGTTCGGATTAACCGCCTGCTAGCGTGACGGGGATATTGCAATGTCCCGTGTGTATGCATCTTTCCGTGATAGCTTGGACGCTCGCCCCCCGTGGTGCTCGCCCCCACTCGATCACTCCTCTCTCTTTCCTCTTTCCTTACCTTTTGGCCAACTAAGCGCCACTTTCAACCATCAATCAAGTCTTTCAACAAGTGTACTTAACAGCCACTCTGTGAGCCTTTGCACACTGTCTCTACACAGTGCTTGCCACATCCAGGGATACACCTACCACAAGGTTACATCCCAACAACATATTCGCCCAACCCGTTGCTCACCTTCCGGCGGTCGACATGGTGCAGCCGGGAACCAACGGGGCAGTAGCCTTCGTCGTGACCTTCTGACCATCTGCCCCCTTCTTCCTCGACGTAGAGCCGTCCATAATCGCGGTGAGCTGGGCACGACCAGCAGTGCGGGTTCCTTGAAGATCGTCGTAGCACTCCTTCCAGCACCGCATGCTCTCGATCGACACCTTGCCGTAGGGCATCCTGCTGCCGCCGTCTTTCCTCAACGCGGACACACTGGAGGCAAACTTGCGCAGTGGGGGGTCGTCGTCGTTGTCGTCGTCGTCGTCGTCGTCGTCGTCGTCGTCGTCGCCGCCGCCCTCGCCGCGGCACTCCTCCTCTATATTGGCGTCTGCCCCTGCAAGTTGGAGAATCAATGCAAGTTGGAGGACAATATAGAGGTAAGGATTTGCGCAGAAGTCTATTGTCATGAATATTAGTACTATTATTTAGGTCTCAAAGCCGAGAAGAAGGGCAATCGCAAGCAGTGGGAAATGTGGTCTGGTCAAGTGATTTAAGGTGTCTAGTGTCATGACTATAGCTGTCCTTCCGACGCAAAGTCAACGCCTGACCGCACGAAAACATATAAAGGTAAAGGTTCGACACCTACCGAACCTAACATTCCCACGCAACCAAACAAACGAAACCCATCAAAAGGGACGGCTGTTGCAATCGGTGGACCAAACATGGCGGGAGCACATGCAGGGCCGGGGCCCGCACCTACGCCGGTGCCCAAAGCGAGGTTTCCCAATGACTAAGAAAACAAACAAACGCGGTGGATCTGGATACTGCTCATATCACAAGGCGAACAAACGAACCACCATGTAATGATTAGCGTAGCGCAGTGTTCTACGGAACCGAGGATGGCGGCCCATCTATATTGAAGACCTAGTCTCTCACCGCTTGCACCCTGGGCGTCTCCAGCCGACGGCTCCCCCGTGGAGGCGGCGTGGTCGTGATTGCCGTTGGCAGAGAGTCCATCTCCACCGCCGGCCACTGCGCGCTCTAGTCGACTGATCTCGGCCGCGTGCTCGGCCGCCTTGAGTCGGGCCTGGAGCAAACGAATTTCGGAAAGCTGCGACAGAGCAGCGTCGCGCGCAGCGTGCAAATGATTTTCAAACAAGTGAACCAGGGGGTACGTCGGCCCGAACATACGCAATATATATTTGCGAGGCCATGCTACTTTACTCTTCGATACGCTTTCGCAACAGCATTTTCTCTATTTTGAAAAGTTCAAGATCCTCTACACCCGTGCATGAAAATGGGGCAAGCGCCGACGATAAAAGTGGGACATTTGTCGCGTACTGTAGGTTAGAATAATGCGTGCATGATGATGGTACACATGGAGTGTGGAAGTATTGCGGAAGATGGTACATCTTTCGCGGAAGCGAGAATGGAGAATGACGTGTGGGGGCGTAGTTAGCATTTCCATCAACGCGCACACCCAAAGTAGACGCCGCTCCACAACGAGCACGAAGGAGAGCTGCACAAAGATTGACCCTAGTGTCTGTCGACCAAAAAAACCGACGGGAAACACTGCGGGGAACCCACCTCGTGATCCGGCACGCCCCCGCTCCCTGACCCACTCGCCGTCGAAGCCCGCGCCGTGGCCTCAGCGCCGGTGCTTCCCGCTGCAATGTTCTTCTGTTCCGTCTTCTTCTCCTCTCGTGCCTCGTGGAATTCATTCGCTTGCTGGAAGCGACGCAACCGACGAAAAAACAATGATACGGAGTATTACATTAGTACATGTCGGCGCCTGGAAGGACGGGCAAAAAGGAACCTTGCGAAAAATACTGGGAGAGGACAGAATGGTGGAAAGGACGAGTAGGTTTGACGCGGAACCACAACGTGCAGCACGCAACCCATCCAAGCACGGCGAGACAAGAAACACACGGCTGCTACAAAAAAACGTGTGAGTGTGAGGGGGGTCGCACCTGAATAGCAGCGGAGGCGGCAGAGTTGGCGGCGTGCTTCTTGATCGCTTTTCGCTCGCTCCTAGCCTTCTGTTGCTTCTCGAGTAACGCCATAGACGCCCTCCACGCTGCCTTCGAGGCGTCCGACATCTGGCGTGCGGTGGCTGCTATCTCGGCTTTTTTCTTCTTGTCGTCCTGGATTCTCGCGGCTTTGACGGCGTGGTCTTGGTCTTTCTTGCTTTTCGGGGGCTTCTTCGCAAGGCCCTCTCCCGCTGCCGCAGCCCCCCCCCTCCCTCCGCCGTCGCCGAAGACATGGCAGCCGCTGCTTTCCCAGCAGCAGCCGCGGCCACGGCGGCGGCTGCTTCTCCCCCGCCCGCCGCCATCACCTCACTTTCATAAGGGTCAGCTGACAGTCGTTTCACTTTCATAAAAGTCCCCAAACTGACTGTTAGTAGTGTGCACTCACCTCACTTTTTCATAAGAGTCAGCTGACTGTAATACAGTGTGCAAACTGACGCCTCACTTTCATAAGAGTCAGCTGACTCTTATGAAAGTGAGTGAACTGTGTCATAAAAGTGAAATAACGATGACTGTTATAGGAGTGAGCCGATTGTTATAATTGTTATAACAGTCAAATATTCACTTTTATAACAGTGAATCCATATATAAGATTGTTTGGGAGCCTGCTCTATTCCCATCCGGGCTACCCCTACTGTGGTCTCCGTTGCTGCTCTACCCCTGTCTCCGAACCGGGGCATTAGGGTTCACCCCATGCTGCTGTCCAAGTCGGTCCGATCTCGCCACCGCGGTTACTCTTTTTACCCAACACCCCAACCCAGCACTTGTACTGCTGTCCCTTCCTTACCCCACAACAGGTCACGCCGCATTTTTTTCTCGGAACTTTCCTTGGGTACATGTTGAAGTGGAACGTCATTACGCCGCGTTCCAGGTTGCACAACAACCGCGTTCCAGGTTGCACAACAACAGCAGCTGCTGCGCAAGCGAATAGGCCAACCCCCAGCTTCCCCACCTAGAGGGATCGTGCCGGAGGTGTGGTGAGAGGTGGACCTCTCTCCTGCCGCTTGCTTCGTTTCGCGAAACACCTTGCTGATGCTGCTGAAGTGATCGTGCCCTAGACGTTTTTTCGCTCGGGAGGTCTCGAGATGGCGGCGCCCTCGAGCACCGCTACTCCTGCTCCTGCCGCTGCGGCCACGGGGCCTAGCCCAAGCAAAGCCATCGTTGACGCCTTGGTCTATGTCCAAGAGGTCGTGGCAGGAGCGGCCATGTTGCTGCAAGAAATGCCTGCCGAGGTTGTGCCCATCTTGGGAACGGTGTGCAAGACGTTCCTGGCGTTCGAGCAGCTCGCGGAAACAGCCAAGAGCAATAGGGAAGCGCTCTCCATGCTTCAAGATCTGTGCAAATCGGTGGTGAACGGAGTCTTGGATTCACGGAAGGAGCGCCCGAGCATTCTGAAAGAGGGGTTTGCGCAGCTGCAGGAGCAAGTGGACAAAGCGGTGGAGGTCGCCAAGCTGTGCAACGGGTCTTGCATGCGACGGCTGCTGTGGGCCCGCAAGATCCGCAACGACATCGCGGGGATTAGGGCAGACGTCCTGGCATATTGCGCAGTGATTAACCTCGTCCTTGCCGATGACATTCATGTGAGTACTAGCATTAGTGCTCTACTGCTCTCTCTCTCTCTCTCTCTCTCTCTCTCTCTCTCTCTCTCTCTCTCTCTCTCTCTCCCGGCAACCCTGCCGTGTCCAGTTCGTTATTCTCATTGAGACAAAGCCCGCGACGCTGTATCACAGCAGTAGGAAGTTTCCTCGGGAAATTCCGGTCCAACCATGCGTTCGACCGAGTCGTTAGCGCCCCTCGAATGCATATTTCGAGGTTTCACTATCACGTGACTGCCTGCAGTTGAACATTAAGCTTTGACTTAGAGTTGTTGCGGAACACACGAGAATGGGTCCAACAGATTGCTCTTGAGAGCGAACAAGCTGCCTGACCGCGTGCACTAAATACTACCAGGTACTACTGCTGTAGTCTAGTCTAGAAGTGCCGCTGTCGCGCCATGCGGCGGCGGGAGGGGCGGCGGCCGCAGCGGCAGCGGGGAAGAGAACCTCCGGCACCTCGCCGCCGTCCGAGCCTTCCTCGCGTGCTCGGTGATGGCGTTCCTAGAGAGGCGGGTCCTCGAGCGGCGGCTGGCGGGCGAGGTGTACGCAATAGTGGCGCACAATGTGCTACATTTCTCAAAACGGAATTTGTGCACGCCCTACAGTCAATTGTCCTACAGTTGAAGGGTTCCCGAGGATCCGTGTCAAGGCCGCCCCCGTCTGATGCCTTTCGGTTATTCCTGGGGCCTGCGGGACGGTTCGTCTAGAGATGGAACACCAAACAAGCCACATCAACACTGCGGTGTAATATTTTTTTCTGGTGGTGTGCGTCCCGGCTGAAGTTTGTGGGGACACCCAGGCATCCGATGCTTGTGTCCTGTGGTGACCCCTCGCTGCTCTGTTGCTGGCACATAGTGCTTGTTTGATGCGCGATCTGTTGCACGACGTGTTTTTTGTTGTGCGGATTTGCGCATGTAGTCGTGGCTCAGATGTACGAGGGGGCTACGAAGATAGCTGTCTTCACTTCAAATCAGCGCTCACAGCACTAGTGCCGTTTACTCCAACCCGTGGTCACACAGAAGAGCCCCTCTCTACCCTCCCCTCCTCAGGTACTTCGCCTTCGATTTTTAATGCGAGAAGAGTTCAACATTCTCTTCCCTCTGTGTACACACGAACTAGCGCTATCCACTAGGCCAGAAGCGGAAGCGAGAGAAAAACTCACTTTGCAAGAAAAGCTCGCTTACGCCGGGATTCGAACCCCTGGCCTGACCTCTAGAAGGTTTCGAGGATACCAACTAGACCACCGGGGCGACTATGCGTGTGTGTGAGCCGTGGAAGCCGCACACAGGTGACTGTCAGGACCTGATGTGCCCCTTTATCGTGGGGTGGACTCACTTTAGGGCCGGTCGCTATTTAACACTGAAGTGGGTCGAGTCCGGAACAAATACACACGAACACGATCAAGAGAGCCTTGCCAACACGGTCACAATCGCCTGGCTTGCTTGAGCGTGCCGATTCGGTCAATCAGTCCACCACACGTGCCTTTACAGACGACCGCACGTGCGTACACAGCCGTCCACCACACATGCATACATATAATATTGCGTCCACAGCGATGTGACCCTAGTAATGAATGGAGTTTCACGGCTGTGCTGCAAGTGCCTTCGTTTTTTTCATTATTCCCGAGTTTCCCTTTTTTATATCGTACTTTACCCCCACTAAAAAGTGTAAGTGTCTCCGAAGCCTTCCCGTGGTGATGTGGGACTGAGTATGGGGACTAAGCTTACCCAGGAATGATGATGATAACACTTGATAAACCGGGTACTCCTTCCAGCACACAATGAACAAGAACATGAACACACTGCGCACATGCGACTGCTCTCTCTCGAGGGTCCCCGCGCTTGGGACTCCCAACACAATACCCCTCACGCACATACAATTATCTCGTATCCAAGTACCCCAAACAGAAAGAACCTCGATACGAGAGGGTGGCCCTCTTTCTTCGGTGTAAGAGGGGGCTTCGATGAAAAAAAGTCGAGGGTCATGTAATGTCACACCACCCACTTGTATCTGCTAGACTGGCGAACTACAACGTTTTTGTAAGCACGGCTGCTGCTACCCATGAATCGTTAAAGAGTTGAACCGATTGACGCAGAGAGATATTTCCTTTCCATCCATTACCGTATGCACTTGGCGCCTGAACGGTGCCCGACTGCCTTGCCCTCATGCTGTTCCACGCTGACGGGCTTAGGTTCGCTTGCCCCCCGTTTCGTGACTTTGAAGGCAAATCTTGCCGATACACAGGCGGCAGTCGCCAATACACAGGCGACGGTCGCTGATACACAGGCGACCGTCGCCGATACTCAGGCGACAGTCGCTGATACACACGCGACAGTCGCTGATACACACGCGACAGTCGCCGATACACAGGCGAAAGTCGAGCAGATAGCCACCGATTTGGACGACAAGCTTGAGGAGATGACGCGACTCGCGAAGACACAGGCAGGCTATGAAGCAATGCAGACGGAGATGGAGGCGTTAAAGGACGAATTGGAGGCCATGGGCAAGAAGGTCGAGAGCAACGACAAGCTCGAGGTGAGCAAGCACTATGATAATGCTTTCGCGTTGTTCAACAGTAGTGTCCAGAAAGCATTTTTTCGCCATCTCTCGCGGCGGATGTGGTTCGAGCTTCCATTCGTCTGCCATCGTCCTGGTGTCTTGGTAGGGGAAACAGTACACCGAGGTGAGAAAAACACATGTGCGGGTCTGCATTCGATGGTCTGCTCCCAGTCCTTCACTCAGAGGTGCCCGGGTTTGAAAACGTTCCCATTCGATGCTTGGGGCTTGAGGAGGACTAGTATGCAATGGCGATAGCTTCGGGTCGTATCGTACCGCAGTGAGGTGCAGGCGTGGTAAGTTAGCCGAGCAGGTCGGAAAACTAGACACCGTTGCCACAAGGTTTCCGTCATGCTTCGTTGGTCTCTGCACGTTTCCCCCTGGTTTCCCCGCCTGCACACAGCAACTTCTTATTGTTGGTATGACGAGTTCAGCAGGACGCGTAGTATTGTGGGTGGCACGCACACCGTATCGTCGGGTGACCTGTACTACAGAAGATGGGGCTGCATCATGGTGGTTGTCGCCGTGTGAGCCTCGACCATTGTATCTGTCGTGTTGCCGTGCACAGGCGGAGCGCGAGAAGAAGGAGCTTTTGGGCGCCATGGAAAGGGCCATGGAAAGGGCACTCGAGGTAAGCTGTGCGCATGAAGCACCCATAAACCGCAGTCTAGTGGTAAGGGATGCCGGGGCTGCCCCCGGTACCCAAGCAGGTCTAGATCTGGCAGAACAGCGAGACACGGTGGCCCAACATATCCATCCTGGCGCCGCCTGAAGTGTGTTTTCCAGCCTTCGGTTGAGTTGCATACCGCCTACGAAACCAATGAAGGTCCAGGTTCTCACCATGGGTTGGTCACATGCGTGACGACGTACACGCAGCGCCACGCGCACGGAAGGGACCGTTTCAAAGGAAGGCATCGTATTGTTGAAGTACTGGCCCTTGGCCCGGCCTTCTAAGTCGCGCGCAGCGCCGACTTAGTCGGACTGGTTAAGACGAGCGAAGCGAGTGCTTAGCCCGCCGCAGGCGAAAAATTTTGGTTCGTCTTAGTGCATCTTACACGTCTAAACGCATCTCTGGTTCGTCTTTGCACGTCTTGTATTCGTCTTGGCACGTCTTGTGTTCGTCTAAGCGCGTCTAATATACGTCTTAGCGGGTCTAAAGAAACGTCTTAGCGTGTCTTAAACACATCTCAGTTCGACCGAACAAGGCCACAAGGTCCCACACAGCGGTGTTGTTGTGCTTGATGCCGACCAAAATGGTTTTGTGCCCCATTCAATGTACATAGAGCGCGCTACTACATGCAGTAGCGCCCTCTATGTACATTGCATGTATGGGCTTGGTTGGTATACCATTGGAGGGTAATCGAGTCATTTTAAGCACGTGAGACTCCTCGAGACTCTCTTGGTATACCTTTGGCACTCAACAAAAACGATCCAGTTTTTTACGTTTGTTTGTATTTGCTCATTTCCATCTTGTCAGTCAACAGTGGTAAAACGCGAATTCGTTGGTTCACAACCGTTGCAAGATATCTACAGTAACCTGAGTACCCGGGAGTGTCAGCAAGGCGCACGCACGCCATTTGCAGCGCAAGCAGGAAACACATCAATCTGGTACAATAATCTGGTGGAGACCCTTCGCTGCAAACCTCCAATTAATTGCTGCACAACACGAAAACGAGCTCCAAGAGAACATCACACCCAATAGAGAACACCACACCCAATAGTAAGAGCGCGATGTTTGGTCCGACTACCATCAAAGGAAAACTGCGTCATGTCCAAGGCCTGTGACGGTCGTTGTGACGTCAAACAACCTTCTAGGTCCACTCGAACTCCGCTCGATGCTGGTGGGGTCGAAGTCATCACAGGACTAGGGACTCGGGAGCCGTGAAGTAGTTGCGGAGTGTGTGAGGTGTGCCGGCCGCAGCGCGGGAGTTTTTCGGCGGCCAATTTTTCAAAATTTGAGTGCAAACATGCAAACATCCTTCCTTCCATTTTGGAGGAGGTAGTTCTACAGAGAACGGAGGGGAGAGAGGATTGGAGAGAGAACAGATGGAGGACGGAAGGCGGAAGAGAGAGAGCTGCTCTTTGCTGCGTTTCACGTCCTGTTAAGTCGTCGTGACAGCTCCTTAACAGTCACTCAGTCGCATCCCCCATTGCGTTAGACGACTGTAAGACGTGCCTAGTCGCCATATTGGGGGTTAGACGTGCCTCTCCTGTGGAAACGGACTTAGACGTTTTTTAATACACGTCTTAGAAGGCCGGGCCAAACTGGCCCCCTTTTGTATATGATGTGATTGCATGAGGTAGCTGGACGAGATATGGCTTTTCCGAGTCACGAGATACTACCACGACAACCGATACTCAAAATTTCGTCAACCGACGTGAGGCCTATTTTTTGCGGGCACACCCAGTGTCTTCCCGCAGAGTCTGTTGCTTAGAAGGTAATCCACTGCCATGGTCACCTTCTTCTCTTGGGGGCGTGCTCAGAAAAAATGTTGGTGAAGGTACGGCTAAAACTTCAACAATAGGTTTGGGTTACGCTGTCCGTCTGGCATGGTGCACCACGTTTTTGGTCTGTAGCTGCGTCTCATTTGGAGCTGTTGAGACTTCGTTGGGCGATTCGTATTGACGATGATTCAGCCTGCAATGTTCCGTGGATGCATGCGCTTCCCCTTGTCGCACATTCAGGCGAGAGTCCAGGGGGTAGAGCAGCTGAAGGACGCCCAGAATACCCTAGGGGCGATGGAGGAGGGGGTGGCATCGGAGAGAAAGGCGCCGGAAGACAGGAACAAGGAGCCCGAGACCAAGCATCAAATTTCGCAGGATCTCGATGTGAGCACTGCATTGGTGGTCTTCATCAATTACCAAGGCTTGATTTTTTGTTTTCGCCGCAAATGCCCATTCGTTGGCCCCAAATATTTAACAAGGGGCGAGAGTCACAAAGGATGGCTGTGATCGCCCAAATTCGTGACCCTCCTTATCTGTCGATCTCTGATATATCGATAACTGTATTGTATTCTGGCAACCAAGTCATACAACGGGCGATATGCCAGAGGGAAATACATATCCAAATGGCCACTTTGCGGCTTCGGAGATAGGTGCAGCCATGTTTTATGCTCTGAAGAGCTTGTTCTGCTAGTCTTGTGGGTACACCCAGTGCACGTCCCTAGTCCGTTTTGAAACTGGTAGCCCACTGAAATGGTCTCTGTCTTCGCTCTCAGAATTGGCGAAGGTCCTGTTGCAACTTCACTCGTAGCCATTGGATCTCGAGTTGAGCAAGCAAGTTTTATTTTCAAGCTTTGAACCCAACGCTTTATCTCTTCAGACTTCAAACTCGTGAACCGACACGGATATCGGTGTGGAATGGTCACGAAGCTTGGTGTAATCGTTTAGCTAGCAGATTTTTTCATAGGGACCTTCCAACCCGGCGGTCACAAGTTTCCCGGAATGTCGCTCGTATTCGTACATGCTTCGTTGACTCCAACGGCAATGTCGGAAAAAGGCAGCCACGCCGCCGACGAATCAGAAATCAGTGAGGTGCCGGAGACAGCGACCAAATACCACACGCACACACTCCTTAACGTCCTGGCGTTGATCCTTCGCCACCGTGGTGTCACTGGCTGTGGTGGGCGGTGTATAATGCAAGTTCTTGCTTGTTGTGGGCGGGGGGTGCGAAAAAATGGGATAGCCTATCAACACACACACACTTTGGGGATGTTGTGGGCCCCTCTCGAGTCAAGGGAATCAGCATCTCAAACATGAGTGAGGCCACTAGTATGTCCAGCTGAAACAACGAAGGTGATTGTGAGCCCGGTCTCTCTGCCGCTCTCGCTTCTGTTCGTTCATTTTCGGTGACCATGCACCGTACAACCTTGCATTCTCCACCCTACCCCGTGCTGGCGATCCGGCGACTGCCACCAATGGTTCATTCATTCAATGCTCTCCTTTCCTGCTCGTGGAAGAGTCGCACGGATGTTTTGTTTATCCCTCGTGCCCACGCAGCAGCCGAAACGCCCTTCTCCTTACTACTAATAGCACTGTGGTCGTCCGTTGAAGATGGAAATGTGCGAGTGTATCATGTTCCGTTCATGGTGTTGTCTACTTTTTTTTTGCTCTGTTTTTCCGCTGAACCTGAGTCGCACGACACCCGCCTTTGGTTTTCCAGCGACGCCTTGGCGTTACTCTCGAGAATCGATGAGAACGAAGACCCCAGCTCCCCCTCTGCCCCTCGCAAGAAGCACAGGACACCCTTCCTTCGGCGCCATTCCGACTCAATCGATCCATCGGAACCGCCTACCGGTAAACCTACCTACACAGGACATTCTACAGACGGCCCTGGAGGAGGTGGAGATTACCATGGCGAACGCGAGGGACGCGACGTCAGGGATGCTTGGCGTCCCGGCGGCCGTGAGCGAGAAATACTTGGCCCCGCTTGTGTCGGCGGCCAAGGAGGCCCGTTTGGCCGGCAGCACCTCTCCTAAGGTTGGTGCCATCCTTGTAGATGAGCTTTTTTCGGCATGCTCGTAGTGCGGTCGAGATATAGGTATGCGAGAGCCGGTTTCCCAGCCTCTTGGCAGACGGTAGTGTTACTTGTGGATAGTATGGTATGGTACGGAGCGCTTCTTGTGGTCATCGGTGTAGGCAGGATACGCCGGGCTGTATCCGATAGGACCAAAAAGGGGTTCACTCGCGAAGGACTGTCATACCCGGGGGGGGGGCGGGGCGAGTGGCGCACATTTCTTAAAATTTGTGTAAGTCAGTGCTCCGAAGAAGCTCGTTCAAGGAACGGGAGGGTTTCACCCTTTTACCTGTTTTTCGGCCCTTGTTTTGGCTAGATTTCGGGAGATGGAAACTAGTACGTCCGCAGCATCCTCAGTTTCACATTCTATTCAGGGCAGACCAGCTGTTTCGTGTGCAAAGCGCTTTGTGGATTGGCCCAGTAGAGACGGCACACGGCGCCGTTTGATAAATGAATTGAAGCACGGACCCATACTCTTCGTTTTTTGGGAGCAAAACATCGCAAAAGCCCACAACAAGTGTTCAGGTGTGGCATTCAGCTATCCAACGATGCTTTCCAGGGCGTGCGACGAGTCTCAGACACCACAACAGCAGGACTGAAGCAGTTTGTTTCTTGGACTGTGGGTTGCTCGTGAGCGGCTAGTTCCATGTAGAGTCAAAGAGGCACCAAATATTTTCGGGCGGGTTTGTGTTCCTCTTTTCGGTCGATTTCAGGTGCGTAATATTTAATCTTACATGCAGTCCAAACTCAGCCTACAGACGGTGCTCACAACCTCCGAGGCGGCCAAGCAACTGCGTGTGAGCTAACAGCGGTGTAGTCCAATTTTTGCTAAGGTCAACTGCAGTAGCGCCACTTTCGCGTTCGACTATAAAACATCTGAGAGATAGAGAGTTGAAAGCCACGGAGCCCAGAGGTATCCTGTTTTTTTTTCCCTTTGAGTAGATCGGTTCAAGTGCCTTAAAGCTGGTGGATGGCTTCATGTCTGCGCATGTATTCACCAAGAGCTTGTTTTTGTCTCTGCTGAGACTCACTCCGCCGCCGCCTCTTTCTCGGCCTTCTGCCGCCCGCATGCATCCGAGATACCGTCGTCCTCTTTTAACGCCTGGTCCCACACATGCCGCTGCTGATCGGATGTACGCTGCTGCATGATACGCTACGCACGATGCCCTAGGCGCAAGAACTCCTGGCGGCTGTGGACGAAGACCAGATCGGCGCACACGCCGTGGGAGCCAAGGATCGCGTAGTCGCCGCTGTCGAGACAACGCTCGCGGATATCAACGACGCCGCCGCCAAGTGAGCAAGCAAAGCAAGCACTACACAAGCAAGCCGCGCATAAAACCTAAAGATCCCTGAAGGCAGCCGTTTTGATTCGATTCGATGAACACTTCTGACCACTCTACGTACGAATTTACAACACTTGCTTTTGCTTGAGTAGCATTTCTTTGCGTTAGAGGCGACAGCAGCGAAACGGGACGGGTTTAGGGGATACGGGGCATGCTCGTGATGGCCGAAGGCGCTTCCCGCCATGGTCGTCCCGGCAGCACCAACGTACAGCAGTAGCCACAGAAGGCTTCTCTTTCAGTCTCCCTTTCTCTCTCCACTTGTCCCTTTTGGTGTCTGTTTCTATTCCGCGGTCACGAATCTTCGCTGCCGCGACAAGCATGGCGCCAGTAATCTCTTGAGCCCGATTGCCGCCAGCGAAAACCTGCCTGGAACCGAGTCGTGCGAGATGTCAACCTTTCTCTTTTTGCCAACCCAGTCCGACCCAACCACCCGCCTTGGCCGTCAACTTGATGGCACGTTGTTCCCACCCCGCCGTGTCGCCTAGGCCCTTGCAACCGGTTCTGCGTGCCTCTGCGCTCGATCGAGTGGTTGGTGGCTTGGTGACGTCACTATGGTGAAAACCAAACAGGTCCTCACTTCTGCGGGCGAGCTTTCGGCTCTCGCGCGCTCACCGACTGCGTTGTGCGCATGCAAGGAGTGGCCGGGGGTTAACGGCCCAGGCCTCTCATGCTCGTGTCGTTCTTTCACACAATAAACAATGAAAACGACGTTTCGCGGTTCCATGGGGGGTGCAGAGCTGAAAGGAGTGGGTTGGGCGACGTCTTGTTGTCGGTTTGTCGTTTGTCGCTATATTTTTTCGTCGACAGACGATGGTGTAGTGAGTGATGCGGAGTGAGAAGCGTGAGGTTTGTTCCGCTTATGCGTCCGGTTGTGGTTGTTGATAGTATGCAATTCCCTGTGCTGTTGATGCGAGATGAGTGGACGCATGAGCTGATTTAGGCGCATTTCTTTTCAGTATAAAAAAGACGTATTTCGTTGGACTGTAACAATTATAGCTGCATTTGTCCATGTGTACCAAGTGTAACGTACAGGGGTGTGATCGATTTTCAAAGCGTATTTTCACCACAACCAGGAGGGTGCGAGCGCCAACTGATACCTCTCAGGAACGCTCTAGATGAGATATTCCCAAACAAAAACTTTTCGACAGTGGTACCCTCCTGGTTGTGGAGAAAATACGCTTCTGAAAATCGATCGCACGGCCCGTGCGTTCTCTCGCATCCTTACGGTATGTCCTCAGACCGGACGCCGGTGCACCCTGGAGATCTGAAAAGCTCCGTCTCTCAGATATCATGCTGTCCAGCAACATCTCTATGCGCACCTACGAAGCCAGCCGGAGAGTCCTCTGTAGAGTCACCAACCACAGGTAAACTCACTCTCACAACTATGTTGGTTCGGCGAGAAAATGGCCTCAGAGAACAGTCAACGAGCAGTTACAAATGGGACTCCCTCAACCCCCCCTCCACGAAATACACCCCAACACGAGCGTGTCTACCGGTCATGTACATTACTTGAACAAACAACGAGGGGCCTCATGAGACCTCATGAGTTACCCCCCGACACCTCATGGGATGGCTTGTGAGGTGCCATGAAATGTCATTGGCCGGCTCATGGGGGGCCTCATGAGACCCCATGGCACCTCCCGGGACCGCTCATGAGACACCTCACAAGACGTCTCAAGAGTTGTCATGTTCCATGAGGTGTCGTGAGACGCCTCAAGGCACCTCGTGAGGCGTTCCACGAGACGTCTGAAGCGGTACTGTATCGTGACACATCTCATGGGACACCTCATGACACCTCATGACACCCCACGAGGCCTCATCACACCTCGAGACACCCCATGACGCCTCACGACACCTCATGACACTCCACGACGCCTTATCACACCTTACGATACCTCGTGACACCTCATGACGCCTCATTCCACCTTGTAAAACCGCAAAGCACCTCAAGAGACCTAATGACACCTTATGACACCCCACGACGCAACATGAGACCTCACGAGACCTCATGAGACCTCATGACGCCTCATGAGACCTAATGACGCCTCATGAGACCTAATGACGCCTCATGATGACTCAGGACACACCTTACGATACCTCATTACACCTCCCGACACCTTGTGGAGTCTGATGTACCTCATGAAACCCCACGGGACACCATGTCACCCAATAGACCCCACCATGGGCCTTCGCCAACCCTAGGATACCACACGGTCGCTGTGGACCGGGCGATGAGGAAAACGGCACGCCCTAGACCGCGATGGGCCGCTGCCTGCACCAGGTCTACTGACCGCTTGGCACGCCCGTTTGGCACACCATGCTCCGACGTTGGCCTGTCAACGAACCGTGAAGCACTGTGTCACGCGCAAGGCACACCCGAACACGAGATGCCACACCGTGGCGTGCGCTCGTCCGCACGACGTCGCAACCGTCGTGGCGCGTCATCGCATTTCGTAAAACCGCGCAGTGGGTCGTCCTAACCGCCGTGTATCTAGGGGTTATGGTCATTTCGAGCGCTACGGGAAAGCATAATCGCAAGTCTGTATGTGAACCTCGTGGTAGGCATTGAACTTGGGTGACATCGGAATGCCATAGGACCTCCTGGGTCAATGGGCTCTCGCTGTGGAACGTGCTAGCTGACACCGCAGTATTCCATGGGATGTAATTGGACCTGGTCGATTGAACGGACACCCCATGCGCGGTTCAAGAAAAGCCTGTCGCCCGTATTACGTTACGCCGAACTCTACTTTAAGGGTTCGGGTGCGGTGTCCCAAGCCATATGTGGCCGGATCGTGCCAAGTACTATTTCTCGAACAATAATTTCTCATGTGATACAATGTCACTATGTACATGTAGCAGGAAAGGGCCTACGGAAAACCAGTTCATACATTGGGGCATCTGATCAATTTTCCCGACCGGCCAGGCATCTGATCAATTTCCCCGACCAGCCATGGCTGCACCAACTACGTGCGTGCTACCTGTGCTACCCCTAATTGGCTTGTGGTAAGTCTACAAGTACGGCAGACGTGTACTGTGCGTCTAATCTCGATGCGGTCAATTATTTGCGACGTGTTTCGGCCTTTATCATGAAAGGTTGCGCGTGGCTGAAAGTGCATATTTCGGAGGAAAAACAAACATTGAGGAGACTCTATTTTCTAGTGAAACGACGGACAAGGACGACTATTCTGTCTGAAACATATTAACATTATTACAATGTACGGATAGATTACAATGTACGGATAGAGACGACTCTGCCCCTGGGTAGAGTTGTAGCTATTCAATGCTCGCCCGACAATCCAGCTTGGCTGAGGAGCAAGTACATACGTAGTCGGCATGCGCCTTCCGCAGGTCCTCACAAACACAACAAGGAATGCGAAACAATATGAACGGAAAGCACTTCTCTGCGCTTGTTCACCAGAGTAATATGGGGGCTGACTGTGCTCAACTCGTCTCAAACCACAGCCCAAAAATTGCTCGACGCATGGCAGCAACGCCTAGACTGATGTGCTAGTCTACATTCTATTTTTTGAAGGTGCCCAAGCTGTTATTATTTGTCGGAAATGCGTAGCCGTTTGCGTCGCCTATAGGGCTAAGCGCGACAGCCGAGAGCGTGGAGTGTTTTACAGTCGGCGGGGCCACCGCCTCTGGGATTTGTTTGCTACACTTTCGCCTGTGATAAACAAATTATTGGCCGAATACAGTACACAATACGCCCTCACGAACACCCGTGGGACACACGGGAAAGCCATGCGCCTTAACCTCGTACTTTACCCGCCTCTGCGTTGCGTGATTTCGCGCATGTCCCTCTGGGTTTCCTTCGTTGGGTTTCTTGTTTGTCGATTCCACAGGGGCCCGGAGGGCACCACGCTGTGCATCCCGTTCGAGGAGGTTAACATTTTTGGGTGAGCATTGTGGACGTTACACTATGGAGCCGTCGGGATTTTCTGGTGAAAGGGGCAGCTTGCGTAAGACAATGCCTTGGGCGGTGTCATGCAGGCGTTGTGCCTGCACCGGAATCTCTCGCGTGGCGCTTTGTCGCGGCATGGGTGTGCGCACCTCGGTGTGTAGGTTGCCCTCTCTCCTGCCCCCGCTCCGTGGACGTTCACTGGGGACATCTCCTGCTCTGTTGTCGACCACTGGAGAACGCGGGGTTAGCGTTCCTTCCGTAACCTGGCAAAGGTACCATTTTGGCTTACTCTTACCCCCGCTTCCGGGTGTAACCCAGGCTGATTCCGAAGCGACGCCGGTGACGTACCCGGTTGAGCTGTAGGGCTGTTGACCCCAGACGACCGTTGGCTCTGTCTACCTCTCCCACGGTTCATCTGGCAGCGGCTCGACCTATGCCGGCCGTTATTCCAGGCACGAAATACCTGACCAGGGTAACCACAATAATTACAAAATGTTACGCGAGAGACCGTGTATGTATGTAGACTATGTACAGCTTACCCAGGCGCGCACCTATTCGTGGACTGGGCCCTTCGTTGTCTCTTGACAGCCATGCATAAGATCGGATCCTCTGTACGGGCATGCTCATGCACCTGACAATGCGACGGACTGAAACCTGTTTGTACGTACAGCAGTACAGTCTACACCTGACTCTGTAATTATGCACGGACTGGAGTGCACACGTGTAGCTGAGCACCCCGAGTCATGGTTTGGCGCGTATTTTTTCAAAGGGCCGAAATTAATTTGAACTTCAAGACAATCGTACTTGCCCTCTTGAAGCCCAAACTAGCTGAGACTTGTTTCAATAGCCTGTCCCTTAGCCTTTCCCTGAGCTGGCGTGATTGTGTCGGGCATTTCCATCGTATCTCGAGGTCGGGATGGTGTATCCAGTGGATGTACATGCGCAACATGCAAGATGGTGCGTTCGGATCCAAGGCGTGGGCTCTTGAAATTTGGATTTTGAGCACACCATAGTCCAACATTTCACCCTACCGTGTGTAACTGGACGTATAAAGCATACCCTGGTGTTCCCTGGCATTGTGTTTACATACCCCGCTCACAAACTGGACAGTTGAGCCTCTCCTTCGCCCTCTAGAGCCGGTGCAAGGTGGAGGTCTGCTGTGGCCGCGACCGAGCCGGCTGATCAAAGGGGTTTCCACAGGGGCTGCTTGCCCGTTGGAAGCTTTTTTCTCACTCTTTTACTGCTGTTTTTTTTTTATTCAGCCGTGCAGCACTGAGCAGCACAGCAGCCCCGCATCAGCTCTCCGTCTCTTGCGCCCGTCCAACACGAACGGTTCAGGCGACAAAGCATACATCTAAACCAGGAAGAGAATCATGTCTGGAAATGGAGGCGAGAAGCGAAAGGCAGACGAAATGACGGCGGCCGCGGATGTCGTGGAGGTGCCTCTTGCTGAGCTGAAAGACGTTGCGGAGAAAGGAGGTGAGGAGGAGGTGCATTTATGTGTGGATGAACGTGCGCGTTCATGTTTCGATCAGCGGCTCGCTGAGGCCCGAGGGCCAGCGGCAGCTTTCGGGCTGCGTCTGCTTTGGCCTGGCACCTCTGTCGGCGCTACTGGCGTTCCGCCGATGTTGCCTGTATTTCCAACAATAATTGCCGAATACGAGCCCACATCCAAACAGAGCCAACGTAAGATGTAAGATACCACCCTTGCCGTTGCTGCAAGTTGTTTTTGCTGTGTTGCGACCGCTGGTACCAAAGCGCCACTGCTCCCCCAAACGGGCGACCAGCAACGGACGAGGGGGTAGTATTAGGAGTGCATTGTCGAGAGCGAGCTGTTAGCGTTGTCAATCAGTGTTGGCAAGCTGCAATCGAGCTTTGGAAATCTTCTCTCGGGGCAACTTAGCGGCAAGGGGTTCACGCGGCTGGTTATTGGGGGTGGTTCAACACGCGGCACATCGCGGCGTTGCGGCTGCTTCTCTCCAGCCCAAAAGCATGAAGCACGCTCCGGATGATATGAGTTTGACTTTGACCCCCACACCCGTCCACCGCCCGCGGTGATGATGATTGAAGATGAGAGTTCGTACGCTGAAAGACCCAGGATCTACTACCAAATGGGCCTTACAGAACGGATAAATACCGGAAGTTGCGTAAGATAACGCACACCCTGGACCTACTCTCGAGTCCTATATATTACTTTGCAGCACACAGAAAGGCCAACTGTGCTGAAAATTGTGGTGTTGGGGCCTCTATGTCGACGTCGAGAGCTTTCCGAAAACGCGTACTTTTGATGTAGGCACCCTCTTCGTTGTGGATGAACGAGCTTTGATTTTCTGCTTGTAGATGCACTGCTGTACCAACTATTTAGTACGGAGAGGATGATACAGTAGTATCGGTCGGGGAAATGGCACCAGGGTGCTTGTGTACAACACCCCCGAGTACCAGCAGGCGCTTTGTACTCCGTAATTCATTGGGCATCTCGCCGGTCGGAGAGATCACACCGGGGTGCGAACAAAAAAACGAAGGAAAAACATGTAAAAACGATGGCACCCGGTGCCATCTCTCCTCCGCTATTCTCGGTGATCATGTACGTGGAAATAGCGCTGCTCTTACAGTCTCCCTCGTTCCTCTCAGACCTGGTTATAGACAAGGAGATGCTCATGTTGTCGTATCACAATGGTCGCGTAATTGAGAATCGAGCCACTCCGTGAGCGGGGAATAGGGTTTGTACGTACAGCCCCAGCATGTGCGTCTCTCACTGAAGCAGTTATGCATACCCCAGGCGACGCACGCTTCCGCTTTCGGTAAAACGCTCTACGTCAACATGCAGCATCGAGAGGGAAGCGTTACCTAAAGCATGGTTATAACTCCAGGAACAGTATTGTAGTGACCGCCTCCGCCGTGGGTTCCGCTCTGTCGGCAGAGTTTATCCCGAGCTACCGCAAGCATCAGAAGCAGCCGCCTTCGGTCGCGGCTGCCCATTGAATAGGCGGGTGAAGCGTAGTGTCGCGCCAATGCCAGGGTTGTGGGGTCAGGCCGGCATTTCCGATCGCCGTGGCTTTGTTGTCGAAACTGCTTTCAGTGCACACACAGCGCGCACTGTCATGTCGTGTGTTGTTGTTCTCAGTGGACGGCAGTGTTCTTCGTCGTGTCGCGGGCATGGCGCGTTGTGTTTCGCCTAGACTGTAGTAGTTGAAGATGAGGGCGGGGTGTCACCCCCTCCGCAGCTGCGGTGCCCCGGGTTGTTGGCGACTTGTACACTGAACGCCGGTACACATGAGGTCGATTTTTTCGCAGCGTACATGGCCCGTAGACGCCGTACGTCAACGCCGCTCTGCTCGTCTATCGTCACTTCCACCTTGGGCACCATCTTGGCTGTCTAAGCCTGCGCCATGGTTGTGCGTTTTTCTACCTCGGTGGAAGGAATGCCCGTGAGTGAAAGGATGTATCCGATGCCCGGTTTTCCTCTTTCTCCGGCAACGAGACGCGGCAGCCAATACCACTTGTCTGGAACGCATTCCGCCGGCTTTCGTCTACCCCCACAAAAGCCGGACGTGCAACAGCATGGATCGAACGCATCAACGTGAACCGCTCTGCTGTTTTTTGGCATCTGGTACGTGATCTCACCATCATCATTGTCGTCGCCGTTTGCGTTATCCCTACGTCGCCGTGTGTTGTCCTCTCGTGTGGACGAACGTCGAATGACTACTGCTGTACGTTTGTGTGAAGTGAGCAAGCTGGGGTACAACGAGGAAGACACCAAGGTCATCTGCGACATCCTTATGTACTCTCAGCTGAGGTGAGCTTTCTGCTTTCCTTCCCCCAGTCCGTTTTGCCGTGTCTGGTTTCCTCCGATACCCTCGCGTTCCTCTGAGACGCCCTCACTTCTGCTCTTCGGTAATGATGTCCGAACGTTGCTGGCGCTATTCTGATCCAATATTTTACATCCTTGCCGCCACCCTCCTCCCTACAATTCTCATATGAGCGTCATTTTGTGGTACCTGGCACCCGTCGATAGCTCAAGCATCCAGGGAGCCACGCAAACTACAGGAGATTAGTTTATTTGCGTTTTCGCCACTGCTGTTCAGCCTCGGATAGAGTCGTGGCAGGTTTGACTGTGTACATGCCGTAGATTGTACCCGGAAACCTTGCCCAGACATAGCACACTTTTGCGCAAGAAGCAGGGTGGTGAACGACATGCGCCCTGTGTTCTCCCCTTACGCCTTCCCTGCCACTTGAAACCGCAGCATTTTACGCACACATACACACATTTTGATTTTTTTCCGCTGGTACTGACGTCATATTTTCATTGGTAGGCATATTGACGCGGTCGATGCTACTAGTATGAAACTCACGTACAACCGGGTTGCGCGGTTGATGCTACAGCAAGATAGCACACACACCAGATCGCGTTTTGAACCTCGCTGAGACTGACTTATTTTTCATTGGTCCGCCGGCTAGCGCGGTCGATGCTAATAACAAAAACACGCACACAACCGCAGTGAGACTGTCGACGGTTCGTTGGTCAGCCGGTTAGCGCGATCGATGCTAACAACAAGAAACACAAACACAACCGCAGTGAGACTACCGACTGAAAGTTGGTCACCACGTTAACGCGGTCGATGCTAATAGCAAAAACACACAACACAACACAACACGCACCCCAAGGGGAGGCAACCAGGGCCTGATCAAGATCATCACCCACGGCGCCGACAAGGCTCCGGACTGCGTACCGGCGAAAGTGGTCCACGAGAGCAAGCTGTCTGCCCGGCTGGACGGGGGCAAGACCCACGGAATGCTGGTGGTGTCCAAGGCCGTCAACATGGCCATCGCAAAGGTGTGGGGATTTAACGCCACCTTTCTCGTCGAGGAGTTTGTTCTGCGACACAAGCAGCGGCGGCAATAGTCGATGCCCTGGGTAGAGTCTGTTTCTGGACGTGGTTTTTCGAAGCCGAAATCGAAACTTGACTATTTAGTCAGCGCTGACCAGTCTATTGGTTTCGTTTCGGTTTCTGTAAAGGATAGTCGTAGTCTCCATTCTGGTTCGAGGTACCAGTTCGTGTTGTAGGTCGATCATGTTTTGTTTTTCTTTCTTGACGCGTCCGACCCACTGCCGAACGCGCGCGGTTCTCTCCTGCCCCTCGAGAGCAAACTTCGTTTGCCGTATTCCCCTTGGTTTCTACTCGGCGTGGCTGCTCCCGTTCGCGCATCAAGTAGACGAGGATCCGAACCCCCCCCTTCTGTGACACGTACCGCTTCTTGCTGGATAAAGGATGAACGATATTATGTTAGGTTGCTGGTGTTCTTCCCCCCCCCCCCACCGACTTCGCTCACATGTGTATGTCGCTCCTGCTGAACCTGGCCCTAGGCGTATTCCCGCACGTTGTGTACATATCTGCGGTATTTGATGGCCTCTTCCCCCTGCCCCCCTCCTTCTTGTCTATTGCCGACCCCGCGGAGCCGTAAGCGTAGGGGCAATCGGTGTGTCATCCGCTACTCTCTTTTTGCGGTGTTCCAGATCGTGCTTATAGACTCTCGCACTCCTTGTGTTGTAATCGTAGCCACCCCCGGCATTGCAGGGATGCGAGGTGAATGGTCTATCGAGTGTACATCCCCCACCCCGTCCTGTCTGTTCCAGGCAAAAGAGCACGGTTTCGGGATGGTGGGCACGTCAAACACGTCCACCAGCACGGGGTCGATAGGCTACTACGCCAGAGCGATCGCGGACGCGGGACTCATCGCCTTCTGCTTCGCGCAGTCCCCCGAGGTGCGTGAGTGTCCCCGGGTCGTCGACGTCAGTCAAGGGTATGCAGCAAACGAACGTCGGTAGCCCTGAATGGCGCTGCTGGGCACAGACTGAAAATTCGTGTACTTCGAATAGCGCCGGTCCCTCTGAATGGCGCCGGTCGATTCGCCGGGCGCATTCCTACCGGCATGATTGTGGTTTGCCCGGTAGTGTTATCTAATTTCCTCCCCGTGGTCGACGTGTTTGTTGTGGTTTTACTCACGGTCGCGTTTCATTATTTCGAAACCAGGGTGATGCCACATTTTTCTCGTCGTGGTTCAGTTTGGCGTTGTTGTTGTTGTTGCTCGTTGTTGTCTTCACGGTAGTAGTAGTAGTCGTTGCGCTCTCTCACCCCTATCTTCCCAACGACGCGAACGCCCTCGGTGGTGGTCACACACGTAAGATAAGGTACACGCATGAATGTGTCCACAAGAGATAGACTGTTCAATACCGTAGCCGCGAGGTTAGCCAGCCTCCAGAAGGCCCGACGTCGCAGGCGATATGAATGGCGACAATATCGATGGCGCCCATGTCGCGCCCACTCGACAACTGAGGGCAAGCAAACTACTACTGTATTGCTTTCGAATGAAAACATGGCGGACAAAAGACAATGACACATTGGTGGTTCTATCTGAGGCGTTGGATGGCTTGATTTTTCGGTTTGCGTCTTTTCTCTACGTCCGCGTTTCGAGAGCGCAGGGGGTGAACATGATGCAGGCTTCCACTCTCGAACGCCCAGCTGTACCACGACAAACAACATGTACCATGTTTAGGGAGTGCTGTGGAGCATCGCAATAGGCCAGCTGCTCTCTCGTACACCATTATTTTGCAGTCAGCTGAAGCGGCACTTCACGCGCAGGCTTGGAAGACGGCATGACACCTCCTTGACGCAGGAGCTAGGGTGCCGATCGATTGCTTGCAGAGGATGTGCCCCCATATTGCCGGGTACTCTCATGTTTTGCATGCCTTAGCGGTTAGACCATTGACCACGTGTCCCCGAAAGGGCGGGGCATTGTTCTCACAGGACCGATCACTGATGGCCAATCGGTCCTTCCTACTTTGACGAAGGTGCCGGGGGGGGGCGGGGGGGGGGGCTTGTGTTGACCTTGCTCTTGCCCTGATGTTGGCGTGCACTCTTTGCTTCGCGCTCCTCAGTTCGTGGCGCCGTTTGGGGCGTACGAGGCTTTGCTGGGCACCAACCCCATCGCCGTGGGCATCCCGCGAGAGGAAGGAAAGGAGCCCATCGTGCTAGACATGGCCACCGCGGCCTACCCTTGTGAGTTTTCATTTTTTTTCTTGTTGTGGTACTCTGCATCGATAAATACCGGAAGAACCATCTGTTTTTGGAAGCCCGTTAAATGTGTTTTCTGTACACTCTGCCATGTGCTGTAGTTTGTTTTGTGCATTTTGTGTATATCGATGAATACTGTCGGAAGTCGCGTTGTTTTGGAAGTGTTTCGCTTTCGTTAATTTGGTTCTAAACTCGATTTTCTCGGATGAAAAAATTCAAGAGCAAGAAGTACAAGAGAGCAACCCCCGTATTAAATTTCGTATGGTGCATACACATCTTCGGTAGTACACAAGCAGTGAATCGAAGACAAGACGCCCATTAGATTTCTTGGCGGTGTTCACATCACTCGCTGCTGCTGCTGCTTCACGCCGTACACCTCTGTGCAAATCACAACCATCGTCAACAACGACAACGACAACGTCAACAACATCACCCCCAACAACGACGACAACAACAACAACAACAACAACACCATCGCCCCCAACAACTCTCAGTCTTCGGGCTGCTGGAGGCGAAGACGGCCGGGAAGCCCATCCCGGGAGACGTGGCCTACGACGCGGAAGGGAATGCAACAACGGACCCCGCAGAGGCCCTCAAAGGCGCCATCAGAGTTTTCGACAGGTGCGAGCGCGACTCGGCTTTTCGATCGATGCCGTTGGTTTTCGACAAGAGAGTACCTGCGAGCCGGGGGCATCGGACCGTTTGGAGTGTGTGCGGCTCGTTCGCGCAACGAATATTCCGCGCCTTCTGCTCTTGGTCCCCGTCTACGTTCAACCGTTTGAGAGTCGGCTACCATGCCACACTGCAAATGCACTATTTGGTGGCAGCTTCCATGGAAGGTTCCCCGGGCAACAGTTGTCCTCCTGCAGAGGTGTTTTTGTTTTGTTTTTCACGGCCATCTGTGGAGTGTGGGACGGAGGGCTCTCTCTATTTTTATTGATGCCTCACTCCATGGTACCCTAACTCTGGAAGGTTTACTTTTGGTACCTCGGGAGTACCACAGTAGTAACAGCTATTCGAACGACACGGTGAAGGCTTGACTGTAGTACAACCGGTATACCGTGCGAAAATAAAAGGAGACTGCGCAGCACCGCACATGCAGCATTTTCACGCCTGCTGGAGATACAGAAGAAAATGCCGTGGGGACAGACAGACTTACACCATGTTCGCGAAACACGCTCTGTGCTTTTCTGCGGAGCACTCACACGCTTTATGACCACCGCCCCTCGCGCTCTCTCCTGTCTGTCGGCTCGGCAACAACCCCCGTCGCATGCAGGTCGTACAAGGGCGGGAACCTGTCCCTCATTGTCGAGCTGCTCGCCGGTCCTCTCGTGAGGTGGGTGCCTCCCCGTGTTATCTTCCGTGTTGGTAGCACAACCCCCGTTACGGGTCCACCGCATGAGTCTCCGTCTGTTTCTCGTAGCCTCGCTCCAGTACGTACGCGACGTTGACTTTTCCTTGGGGGTGCCCTCGCGGCAGCGGGCTTGGGGTGAGGGTCGCACGGTGGCTTTGTACCCTTGGAGGTCGAGAACGGGGGTGACGCGGATGGGAGTGATTCGTGTGCACCCCCATGTGCGTCTTGTCAGCGGGCATGCGGCGCTTTGTACCTCCTGGTTCTGTAACCTCTTGTGAACGTGTTGTGGGTGCACGCGCAGATTAGGTAGATAGGCGCTTTCCGTTAGCCGCTGAAGTAAACAGTTGGAGCGACGCGTAGAGGCTGGCTCTTGTTGTTTTGGTTCACATTTCCCCCGCAGAAGCACATCCGTACGCACACACACAGGCACTCATTATGCCCCCTGATCATGACCTGTTTTCCGTTTTTCTTGACGGTTACCGCGGGTCGATGCTAGTCGTATTCACACACGCGCGCACGATCCCGTAACGCCCCGTAACGCCTCCTCGCGGGGACCCAGATCGTGGTCTTTTAGAAGCGCTTTGTTTTCCAGCCGCGTTGAGACTGGTGTATTTTCATTGGTCAGGAAATCGGTCGATGTTAGCCTTGCCATAACAAAAAAAATCACACGCGCTCACTTCCATTTGCTCTAGTTGCAGCACGCAGCCGAAGCGATACCCCCAAGCGATGTCGGCTGCAGTAGTATCTCACTGGGTCGTTCATTTTGATCCCGGGCGTCGTGTGATCTGCCTGCCCCCCTTGTCTTGTTTCCAGGGCGGCCACGACAGACAAGAAGTCCGCCAAGAACTGGGGAAACCTGGTCCTCGCCGTCGACCCGGAGTTGATGGGGGACAAGGCAGAGTTTGCGGTGAGACTTTTACTCTAGCGGGCAGACTTTTTTGTTCTTTTTATTGTTCTGGGGTTTGGTCACCGTTGGGATCGAAGGTGAACAGGTGAAGCGTAAGACGATGTTGCCGCCCGTTGCTGTCTTCTCCGGACGCTCTTCGAACGGGTAAGATAGAGATTTCGTTGTTCCTTTTCAAGGGAAGACTTGGAAAAAATCCACAGAAACGTGCCGTGTCACGTCATGCATACACCTGAGCAGAAACGAAAACTCTCGTGGGTGTTTGTGTGCGCGCATCGTATACCCCAGCCGTTCATCGAACGGGTGCGATAGAACTTGTACTTTTGAAGGGAAACACTACGTAAGAATTGAAGCGTTCGATAAGACGCCAGTGGCACATGGTACCAACCTGAGCAGAGAACAAAGAAACTCTTCCTCCTGTGTTACCACGGCTGGTGGAGACCGAAGGTGTGAAAATCGACGTCCGGAAGTATTGGGATGTCAACAGAACACGAGGGTTTGTCTGATGTGGTCTATTCCTCTGGCCGAGTCGAATGAAACAGATGGGCCTTGTGTACTCGTCCGACAAGAATTGTTCGGGCGGCTTTCGCGGCGTCCCCAGGGAGACTGGTCAGTCCCCCAAGACCCTTGAAAGTGATGTTGGGTCTTCATCCAGGTTTCTCTCTTCAGGGGGTTACCCTTCTTCCAATTATTGTTTGAGTTGGCCCCCCGACCAACGTTATTCTCCACACCTTGATGGAACCACTGGACAACCTCCCTTGTTTTGGGTGTGTTGGCGACTCGGCTTTTTGGGGACGCACCATTTTGTTCCCACCCATGGCGTGATTTTTCGCAGGTCATGAATAGTTTTCCGTTCATTGGCTCGGGGTAGTATCCTCGTTTTCATTTTTTGCTTGCCTTACTCGATCGATTATTTTCCGACGCCTCCTTTCTCGGGACGGAGCACCCGTTGCACGCCCAGCCCTCATCTAGTGCATATTGATCTTTGATTCTCGGGGGGGCGTGCGTTCTCTGATACTTGTTTTTATCCCCTACGTACGGGGTTGTCCCCGAACCCCCCCAAAACCAACTAATGCAATAGAAAACGAGCAAAACATATGAATTTGCTTATCTCCATCCACAGCCCAAAAGAGTCGATAAAAATAGCAATGGCATTTACGGCGTTGTCGAATACTGTACATCAGTACCGGTGTGACTACGATTTTTCTTGCTTACCAATAAGAAGTACATGGACTAAATTCACCCACTGGAAACTTATTTGTGTTGTTGTATTATTTATGTTGTATACGTTCGTCTGGGGTGTACGCAACCGTCGGATAGTGTACATCAGTACCGGTGTGTCTACGATTGTTCTTGCTTACCAGTAAGAAGTATATGGATTAAATTATCCCACTGGTATTTTGTTGCATATGTTCGTTTAAATTAACCCACTGGACACTTGTTTATGTTGTATGTGTTCGTCTGGGGTGTACGCAACCTGACGGTACGCAGGCGGGTACGGAGACCGTTCTTGCGCGCATCAAGGGCGCCAAGAAACTTCCGGGCGTGAAGGAGATCATGCTTCCCGGGGAGGGGGGGTCGGCGCGGGCGGCGGCGGTATCGGCGTCCGGGGTGGTTAGCGTGGAGAAGAACCTCTACGAGGGGATGAAGACGGTAAGAGCAGCGGAGGGGGGGAGGGAGAGAGACAGTGGCGCAGGTGGGGAGGGAGGGAGGGAGGGAGAGGTAGAAACTGACTGACAAACAGACCAAAACAGACAGAAACTCAGAAGAGAGAGGGAGAGAGAGAGAGAGGGGATTGTAGAAACGCGCTTGTTGTTGTTGTTGTTATTGTTGTCTTGGAATGAACGAAGCGTTCTGGGCCCATGTCTGCTCACCACCTCTCACCTCCACAACATGTCGTGGTGGAGTTGGAGAGAATGCCATTCACAGTAAGTGAGCACAAGAAAACGATGAATGGGGATGACAAGAAGTAGGCACCCACTGTGCTCAATCCGATACATACCCGCACAATGAAATGGTGGCGATCGCGCGCTTGCGTGCGAGAATCGGATGGAGCTGTTCGGTGCCGGTTCGACACCGCGAGGGGACGATGCTTTGCTTGTTCGGGCAAGGTTGTTGTTGTTGTTTTGCCTTGTCGCCTTGTTTGCAGGTTCGCGGGATCGACGTTCAGATCTGTGTACACAACCAGTGGTTTCAAATTTTGTCGTTTCCTACGCAGCCCAAACCCCTCGTGTTTGTGATCCTATTGTAAGAGTGTTGCGTGTGAAGTTGCCCGATGCTTTTTTTCGTTTTCGGTATGTAGCCACAGAGTGAAGGAAGGCAGGATGGCGCCGACGAGCCATCGCCTGTCGTCTGTGATATGTTTTGTGTTGTTCATGTTCGATAGCGGTTGGCTGGGTGCTGCCAATGGCCTCGCTGTCGGCCTATGGTACGCCAAGTGCCGTCTCTGAGACATTGGACGAAACCGCACTCTTTTCGGCCATTCCCACGCACGCGTTGTAGGTAGAACCCTTGATTTGAAAGCGTGCTTGGGTTTTTTATCCCGCTTTGAAGACGGACGTATTTTCATTGGTAAGTCAGCTAAATAGCGCGCTCGATGCCAATTAATATACACACCCCCACACGTTTCCGTTGGCGCTTGCTTCTGTCAGACCCCGTCTAGGTCACAAATTTGTTTTTTTTTTCACGTTTTTTCGGTAATGTCGTCTTGGTTTGTTTGTTTCCGCCCGTCGGGTGTCACATCAACTCGCGGAAATCTCGCAGGCGGCTGGCCTCTGATGATCGTCTGGGCCTACTGCAGTACCGGGAGACCACCGTCGCCGCGCCAGACGACGGTGCGGCGTCTTTTGCGAGGGCTGCTCGACAGCAGTGGTCTGCCGCTGTGGTGCTCTCGTACGGACGTTTTTATGAGTTTCTTTGCGGTGCCGTGTGCACGAAGCGACGGGGTTACACAGGCTTGGTCACGGCGAGCCCCCCTAGGGAGTGGCGCGCTTGTGAATTACTCAGGTTGTTGTCATCTGGGGGGGGGGGGTAAAGGAAGGGGGAGGG